AGAATTCAGCTGGTAGATCTTGGTGTGTGAGATATATTTAATACACAGCAGAACAGGATGAAAAAAACAACAACAGTGTTTTCTACGCTCCCTCCTTACCTCCAGTTCTCTTATAATCTGCATCTTTCTAACATTGGAATGTTCTATGTTTAACGTTCTCCCTACAGGACTTAGAGCTCATTGGGGGAACCAAACAAGTAAAAAATGGTCGTTGTAAAGTGCCTGGGTGTCCTAGTAAGGCAGTGTGTCAAATAAATCCAGGCTCTTGCTGCTTTACCACCCAGGGAAACTTTAAACAAAAAGAGAGGCAATCGCTCCCATAACCTGCGGATGCGTCTGGTGCCACCCACGCTCATCGGGACTTCTGTGCCACCATGAGCAAGCCTCTCAGGTCCCCAGGCCTCAGTTTCCACATCTATCAGGTGGACTTTCTCTGTGGCCTTGGGAAATTGTTTACAGGTAAAGGAACCAATGAAAAGCTAGAGACTACCAAGGCAAAGACTCCATCCGTCAATTCCTTTACCCGGTGGAACACGGTATAGTTAATGTGACGGCTCTGATAGTGGGAAATCCCTAAGGTCTCCAGGGTGTACCAGCTGCACTGGAGTAGAGTAGAAAGAGATGGCTTTGGAAACAGGTTCAAATTTCAGTATCTCCGTGACCTTGGAGGAGTTATTTAAACTCCCCGAGCCTTCACCCCTTCGTCTTTAACATCAGGTCATTAATTCTGATGTGAGGATTGCCTGATAGACGTGAGATACCCAGCACAGTGCCTAGCAGAGAGGAAGGCCTTTCCGAGTGGGAGGTACTCTGGTGATTACTACTGTGCCCACATACCCTCAGTGCTTGGCACAGAGCACTCAACAGACACCTGCTGGGTGAATTGATGAATGGATAACTGAATCACCGTATTTATCCTCTTAGCCAAAATCTGCAGTAGAACCCCATTGGGATCCTCAGCCCATTCTTGTTATCTGTTCTAAATAAGAAAACAGGGGACACCTGGGTGGCTCAGCGGTTGAGCATCTGCCTCTGGCTCAGGACATGATCCCAGGGTCTTGGGATCGAGTCCTGCATTGGGTTCCCCTCGAGGAACTCAAGTCCTGCTTTGCCCTTTGCCTGTGTCTCTCCCTCTCTCGCTGTCTCTCTCATGAATAAATAAACATATAAATCTAAAAGATAATAATAAAGAAAGAAAATAGACAGAAGCACATTTTCTCCTCCTTTTTCTCCTTCCTCTTCCCGTTCTTCCAGTAAGCCTACCTCCTTGAGCAGATGCAAGACCAGAAGACAGTACTTTAAAACAAGGATACCAAACATGTTCTTGGGGAACCAGGTCTTGCAAGGGGCCATGGATCCTCCACACATCCCGTTCACTGAGTCTGAGCGATACATTTGCATACACGAAGTATGTCAGGTGGTCAATCAACCCTGGAGTTCAGAGTCTGGTGGGAAAAATAACTAGAGCACACCCCAGTAGGTGCTGGAATAGGCGTGAAGTACCAGGGAATGGGCAAAGGGGCAGGAAAGAGAGGATTTCTCCCCCAGGAAGGACAGGAAATCCTGAGAAAGGACTTGGCCGAGGAAGAGCTATCTAAGCCTGGGAGAACCGTGATGGAGGAGGAGAGGAAGGGGTAGCAGTGGTAGTAGCTTTCCAAGGAGGAAGAGGAGATGGGAAGAGGAAGAGTAGTGGTAGCAGTTTTCCAGGCTGGGAAGAACAGCTCCAGGCACAGGAGGGGGATGCGTAAAGCCCAGACTAAACCTTCCTGGTATATTGGGTAACAGTGGTTCAGTGTGGCTGTGACTGGGGCCAAGGAAAGAGTAACAGGAGACAGTCTAGAAAGCTGACAAATACTTATTGAGGCTTCACGTGTTCAGGGCAAGGGTAACATTTGCTAATGTCAGGAACAGGCTGGGGGAAAAAAAGCACCAGCGACAACCCTGCTGATGGCGAATCTGCTTCCCCAGTGGCCAGGGAAGCCCGCTGGTGGGCGGCGAAGCAAGCAGTGCAAGAGGAGTCAAGGAGACAGGGCTCTAGCGTGGGCTGCCACCAGCCCGGCCACCTACTCGCCATGTCCCCTTGGGGCCTCCTTCCTCGTGTGTGAAATAAGCTGCGTGGGGAATGGGAACCTCAGAATCCTTTAGGGCTCTGAGATAGGATGCTGATCCCTCAAAGTAATAAAGGGCAGGGGGAGAGATGCGGTGGGGTCTTCTCGGAGCATTTATTAACTGTGGATCCCACAGTCATCACTCAGAGAACCCCAAGGGACAGAAGCAAAATCAAAAGACATTTCCAGAAGATAAATGACTAAAGGGGGCTGACATATGTGAGAGAGTTTGGGGAATTTATGTGGGCAGCCTCATAGTCATAAATAAAATCCCTTTCTCTTACCCAAAATCTCATTCGGGGGGTAAACACTGGGCACTGTAATAGACAATTTGGCTGTATCTCCCACCCCGTGCCTCACTTGAATGAAAAACAGCGGTCCCCAGGCAGGGTAATGGGTTTGGCCGCCCCTTTACAAACATCCATATTGTCAGGAGCAGACAAGCAGGCTGAGGACGAAGCAGGTGGGACAATTCATCTCTGAGATTCCCCATCCCTTCCTGCAGCCTCGCTCTTACAGCTATGCATCCTGAGGCTGAGGGGTTTGGAAGGAACCCCGGAAAGCACCAAACGCAGGGAGAAGTGAGCCCTGGGAAGGAGGAGGAGCAGCATCCCACCCCTCCCTCCCCGTGCGCCCCTGGAGGACGCTGGAGACGCCAGCAGCACCAGCGCCGGCCTGGCCCTTCGCACTCAAGGCTGCCTGCTGCCAAGCTCAGCTACTTGTTTTCTTGACCTACTTCTCTTCCCATCCCTGCTCCACTCCAGATCCCCTCTGGAGTCCACAGTAATTAGCACCTTTCCGTCCATTAGGTTTGGGAGACTTGAGAAAGCTCCTGGCTCCCAGGATAACCAAGGAGACAGGAAAATGGGTTCTGGCATTGCCGGGCTTGGTTTTCCTTTTCTTTTCTTTCCCTTTGTTGGCTTAACTCTGCTTCCTGGCCTCGGCGGGAGATCAGGCCCGGTTTGACCTTGCCAGCCAGCAGGGCGCCTGGCTGGAAATCGGCTGCAAGTGGCCCGGCGTGAACCAAAACAGAGGGCCAACAGCATCTTGACAGAACCGGACAAGCAATGCTCCGGGAGTGGGTCCGGGGGCAGGAGGGGGTCCCTTTGAAGCCTTCTATTGTCAGCATAGCAGCCAAGAGCGGGAACTGTCAGCTCCAGTTTCTGCTTCCCTCCCGGGGAACAAGTGTCAGGAGAGCCAAGGCCGTGAGGCACTGCTGTTTCTGGCTCAATCCCTTTCCGCTTCCCATTAGCGACAAATGGAAATTGATGGGTTACCGCTTTATCCACTCATTTAGAGGGGGAGAAAACCTTGCAGCAAACGCTGAATAACTATAGGCATCTTATAAATTAAGCATCTTAAGGATACGAACCGTTTTTGCATTGCTGCTAAGCAGAATTAAATTAGGTTTTGAAGTTTTCGGCAGCAGTGAATGGGGAAGAGGGAGGAAGATTTTGTTTTTAATTCCTTTTCTCTAAGCATGCGGAGCGGTGAGCCGAGGGCAGGGTGAGGGGAAGAAGGAAGTCACCTGTCTGCATTTCTGATTCCAATCAGCCGCTGCTGCATATGCATGGAGAGGTGTGCCCGCAAGTTCACACAGGCAGCCCAGAGACCCGCAGCTCGGCCTCTGGGCCACGGTGCATGGCCTAGCCAGGGTCTCCGCCTCCGACTTGCCTCTGCCCACCCTCGGCCTCCTGACCACCACCAGCAGGCCGGCCTCGGGGACTCAGGACCCATCCTGATTGCAACCGGAGGAATTCTACAGCTTTAAGCCAATTCCCTGGGACTTGGCATCGAGATACCTTCCTTCTCAATCAGCTCTAATGCTTTCAGATTCAAATTTAGATTTAGGATCTTGCCTTTGGCAGTACTCACTCCCCCCCGCCCCCGCACCTGGCTCCCCACCCCAGTCTAGGAAGAGGGGCACCAGATGGGTACCTGTCTGTAAAACCTGCCTAGGTTTGAGTCCTTCTAGGGCTGTTGCTTAGCCATGCCCCAGGGGTCCTACTGTTCAACCAGCCCTCTTAGGACCAAAGGCCCACCTGCCTAGGCTTCTCACTGCTTTGCATGCCCCCCCACCTGTCTGCACTGACCCCCACCCCCATATACACGCAATCCCCCAGTCCCTGATACCCCACATCAGTGTTGGGCCATCATCTGATGGCCCATGTTTCTCCCTGCAGCTGGGGCCGTGTCCCTACAACCCAGGTTAGCAGTGCCTCAGCCTGCCATTAACGAGCCCTGCAGGGTCCTGGGGAAGAAGAGGCACTGGACGTCCCAGGCACTCCCGGATTCCCTGGGGAGCAAGGCCTTGCTCCAGGAACCAGGCTGCTGCTGACAGGGTAGGTAGCCGCACTGCCTGCCCACGCCTAGAGTGGGCACCCCCACAGCAGCAAGCCCGAGGAGAGAGCATGTGTCATCCACGTGGCCTTGAACCAGCAGTCCGGGAGACACATCAGTGTCTGTGGAGGGCCCTGCCAAGCAGCCGGCCAGGGGCACCGAGCACACTCCCTGACTATCTGAGGCACATTCTCCAGGAAGCCTTCTTGGATTGATCGGAGGAGGGGAGAGGTGATCTCTGCCCTAATTTCCAGCCCTGGATTTAGAACCCCCACGGCCATTCCCATCCTCCTCCTTCACCTGACAGCTGCACCTTCCTGTGCCCGGCTGAGTAAGTCACAGACTGTAACAGGGACGCAGCATCTTTATTCTCACAAGGGGGCAGTGCACCTTCACCCCCAGCCCCGCCAGCCCCTACCACCACTGCGAGCCCAGCTGTACCCAGAGAGGGCACAGGGCAGGACCAGATGTCCCCCGTGGACACCTGGGGTAAGAAGGGGACAGGAGCCAGCTCTGGGCCTGCCCCCAGGGTGCCATACGAGCAGCACTTACCGATCCTCAAGGAGTGCGGGCTGCAGGCGACCATCACGAGCCACGCGGGAAGCAGCACCAAAGGCGCCAAGACGCGGGGCATCTTCTATAAATCCTCATGGAGCCCTCTGCTGGTCTGGGCATGACATAACTCTGTGAGAGAGCGGTGGGAGCGCGTGAGTCCTCTGCCCCCAAGAGGTAGCCACCCACCAGGCCCTGTGACCAGAGCTACCAGGCCGGAGCCTCCGTGGGGAGGGGCCCACGGTCCCCTGCCGAGCTGCTGGTAGTGCCTGCGGGAGCACTGCTGGCCAGCTCGGGGCCTCGGCTCTTCCTCCCTAGGCCAGGCCCACAGAAGGCTCAGGTTCTAACTCCCACCCCTCAAATCAAATTGGGGGCACATGGGAGTAACTGTGGCCGAATGATGGAAGGGGCTCCACTGTTTTTAGATCTCTAATCGGGGATGAAAACCTTTATCTGCTCTTAAGAAACAAGAGCCATGAGTGAGCAGAAGAGGAAGAGGTGGCAAGGTGGTGCCACTGCCCAGGGACACGCCACATGTACCCCCTCGCTGGGGAGTGACGTGGGGAAGGAGCTGGGTTCAAGTTCTGCTCCTCCACATGCTAGCGAGGTGGACTTCAGGAGGACTTCCCTCCACCACTCAACTCCGTTCCCTCACAGGTAAAATGAGCATGACAACACTCAGGTGGTAGAGCTGAGCTGCGGCCCAAGATAACATGAGGAAAGCAGCTGTGCTCAGCCCCAGCCTAAAGGATGGGCTGGACACCGTCAGTCCCTCCCTGGCCCAGAGGAGAGAGGTCTATTCTTAGCAAATACTGAGGACAGAACCACACATACCAGGGCATCAGCTGATTTCCACATCTGCCCCTGCCACCTGCTGGAAACTAACCCCTCCCCGTCTTCTGTCCACCAAACCCCCTTCCTCCTGAGGCCAATCGACCTCTGATGACAAACCAGAGCCTTGGAGGGGACTGCCTCCCCTGAGCAGTATGGGAGCTGTCCCCTCCCTGAGACCTCTGACACCCTAGAAACAGAGTCTGCACCCCATCAGTGGGTCAGGTGGGGCTGGTAAACACCTGGATATGCTAATCCTGAGTCACCCCTGGTTAGGAAAGTAGTATTAAAATGTTTCCTCCTCCCACCCCCTGGACAGAGAATCCAAAGAAAAATGGGCAAGAGACTAGAACAGACACTCTGCTAGGAACTATGTCCAAAAGCCTATAAACATGTGAAAAGAGTCTCAGCTTCCCTGGGCACCAGGAAATGCAATTTCAAACCACAAGGAGATACCACTGACCAGGGGCACTGAGTGGCTCAGCAGTTGAGCATCTGCCTTTTGCTCAGGGCGTGATCCTGGGGTCCTGGGATTGAGTCCCACATCGGGCTCCTTGCATGAGGCTTGCTTCTCCCTCTGCCTATGTCTCTGCCTATCTCTCTAAAATAAATAATTTTTTTTTTAAAAAAGATACTACTATACACCGACCAGAATGACTTTTTTTTTTAAGGATTTATTTATTTATTCATGAGAGACATAGAGGGGGTTGGGGCAGAGACACAGGCAGAGGGAGAAGCAGGCTCCATGCAGGGAGCCCGACGTGGGACTCGATCCCGGGTCTCCAGGATCACATCCTGGGTTGAAGGCAGCACTAAATTGCTGAGCCATCAGGGCTTCCCAGAATGACTTTTTTGAAAAGACAATATCAAGTGTTGACAAGGACATGGAGCAACTGAACTCTGATACAGTGTCAACGTGAGCGTGAATTGATATAACTGTTTTTGAAAAATTGGTCTCTTTGGCCTCAAAACCCAGAGCTTTACATAGATCCTAGGGACCCAGGAACCCCACAATAAGTGTACTTCCAACAGAATGTATAAGTATGTGCTCAGATGCATTAGATGTATCAGAATATTCATAGCAGCACTTTGCATTTCCCCAAACTGGAAACTACCCAGATGTTCAGCAGCAGAATGGAGAAATACTATGTGTCACACAACAAAGTTACATGGAAATAAAAATACGTAACAACTACATGTAACTGTCTGGATGAACCTCATAAACATAATGTGAGCAAAGAAACCAGGCACAGAAGAACACATTTACTACGATTCTTTCTATAAAAAAGTACAAAAAATTGGGATCCCTGGGTGGCGCAGTGGTTTGGCGCCTGCCTTTGGCCCAGGGCGCGATCCTGGAGACCCAGGATCGAATCCCACGTCGGGCTCCCTGCATGGAGCCTGCTTCTCCCTCTGCCTGTGTCTCTGCCTCTCTCTCTCTCTCTCTCTCTCTCTCTCTCTCAAATAAATAAATAAAACATTAAAAACTTTAAAAAAAAAAAAGTACAAAAAATTGTTAGTAGCCCAGCAGGTGGTTTATTCTTGAGGGCAGGCAGTGACTAGAAGGGAACATGTGGGGTCTTCTGGAGGGTACTGGCGATGTCCTGTTTCTTATATTCACTTTCCTGTGTGTGTGTTGCATACTTTAGTAGGTCTTCATTTAATGATGCCCCCCAGCGCCACACCCTTGATGTTCCAGCCACACCCAGCACCTGGCAGCTTCCTGAGCACACCTGATTCCATCGGCCTGTTGCCCCCCTCACCGACCCCTGCCATTTGCCAAAGTCTGGAGCCTCTCTATATGCCACGACAGCAGGCCACAGTGACTCTAACAGCACTTTCCTCCCACTTCTGCTGCCTTTGGGTGTCCACATGGGGGATCAGTATGGACTCCTCAAGGCCAAGGACAGTTGTCAGTGTGCTGCCGTACTTATTCACAACAGATGCACAGTACATACTTGTTCGATGAGCAGAAGGCCTCAAGCAATTACCCGGAATCAGGAGTCAGAGTTAACAAAAGGTAAAGGACTAGCACAAAGGCAACTGTGCTGTTGGCCGATCAGGCCCAGAATCTCTGTCCTTTCCTTCGTAGGTGTTGGTACAAGGATAGATGACAGCAAACACAGTCTCAAGAGAAGCTTGACATTCTTACTCATTACGGATAAAGTCGATTGTTCAGTGATTATCTCCCCACTGGAATGCAAGCTCAAACAAAGGAGGTGGGGCAAGGGGGCAGAAATCTTGTTCGTCTGTCTCCATGGGGCCCAGAACAGGACCTGGCATATTTTACAGCCTCAAGAAATATTTGTTGAATGGATAAATGAATCTGCTGTCAAAGAGGAAAGAACTGTAAAAATCCGGTTAGGCCATATAAAAGCAATACTAACTATAATCATTTATGTCAAATGCCTTCCATTTATGCCCGATCAGCACGCCGCACGGTAATTATTATTCAGACTGCTAAATAGGTGTCAGATTAGCCAGTGTAAATTCTATTTGATGACACAACTACACTCAGTTCGTGCAGGCCTGACTCTTGTCGTTCACGGCCCTAAAGCCTAGTTGACCCTGGAGATCGCATGCAAGCACTACGGTGATGGAGGTCCTGGGCTGCTCTGGGGTCTCGACCGTATAACCCAGGGCAAAAAGATGAGCAATAATCCCCTTCCAAACCTTACAGGAATACAGAGAACCATGGTGTTACATGATTGTAAGCCTCGCTGATTTGCAAAATTCTTTCCACGGTCTCCTTCTTATTTAATCCACGAGACAAGCTCTATTACAGCTGAGGAAGCTGAGCCTGTGAAAGGTGAAGTGCCTACCTCAAGGTCACACAGCTGTCACGAGGTGAAGCCAGGGACAGCCCGGTCTCTGATTCCACAGGCTTTCCTTGTATAGCTTCACTGTTTACACATAGGAACAGGAAGATGAAGCTTTCAGATTCTTTATCATAAGAAAGCACAAAGAAATCTGAGGTCTTGTTTTCATTTTAGTGTTTAGATGAATCTGGTCTTAGAATCAAAAAGGGAAGCTTTTATCAACTAAAACTATTTAAATAATTTAGGGAGAGAAAAGAAATTATCCAGGAGATACAGCACCAAGGCCCCCTTCCCACTAACCCTGTCCCTCCTTGGGGAGTTTTCCCTCCTGCTGTGGCTCTTCACCACCCGCATGGTGTGGCTTCTAAATGAGCAGCCCATGCCCAGTGTTCTTGCACAATACGGCTGTCTCCCACCATTCTCTGGATGTTGCAGAGCACTTCAGACACACCTCGTTCTAGACAAAAGATAACCTCTCCACCGCACCCACCTGCTGCTTCTCCTACACCCTCCTTCTTGGAAGGCAGCACTACACCCTACTCATCACCCGACCCTGAAAGCTGAAGTCGCCCCAGATTGTTCCTTCCCCACACCCTACTCTGATCAGTCACCACATCCCAACAGCTCTGCCTCCTAAACACCATGACTGTCTCTGCATCACCACGAACTCCCACCTCCATCCCACCCTTGTCCAGATGTCTATCAGCCATGACCTGGGCCCTGGCCATAGCAGCTGGGTGACAGGGATTCTTGCTAAAACACAAACATGATAATGACACACCTAGGCCCAGTCTCGCCTAGCTCTCTGCTGCCTCAGGGATCAAGGGCGCTCCTCACTCCAACGGGCAAACCCTTCATGATTTGGCTCCTACTCACCTGTCCAGACCATCCAGCCCACTGCACCTGACACTCCACCAGAGCTTAAGCCCTGACTTCCCCAATATGCCACTTCTGTGTGAACTTCCAGGTGGGATGTGGTCTCAACCCCTGATGGCCTGGAAACAGTTTTCTACAGGCTCACTGCATTATCTCCCCTCTGAGGCTCTGTGATTCCTTCCCCATATGTTGCCACCATACCTGAAATATTCGTCCTTAAGGCACACAACCTGCTACAAGGATGCTGTTTTCCCACAGAACCATCAAAAGTGATAGGAGGGACTGTGACAACCATCTAGCATGCTATTTGGCACATAGTAAGTTCTCTATTAATACTGGACAAATGAATAAATGAACAGATGGCATTAAAAATGGATTGATGGCACCTGGGTGGCTTGGTCGGTTAAGCATCTGCCTTCGACCTCAGGTCATGATCTCAGGTCCTGGGATGGAGGTGGGGCTCCCTGCTCAGCAGGGAATCTGCTTCTCCCTCTCCCTCTGCCCCTCCCCCCTGCTCCTACTCTCTCTTTTTCAAATAAATAAAATCTTTAAGAAAAAAAAAAAAGGCATGAGCCGGGGTGCTCTGGCTGGCTCAGTCAGTAAAGTACATGACTTTTGGTCTTGGGGTCATGGGTTTGAGCCCCGTGTTGGCGGTAATTTAGTTAAAAATATAAAGGGGTCATTTTAAAAAAAAGACTAAGTGTATACAAGTATGAAATAAATTCCCATTTGACTTGTACATTTTGTGTATCTGCTATGGTTACAACAAACAATCCAAGTGGACATCATGGTGTGGGTCTGGGCAAGGAGGGGTCACAGCACGGAGGGGGAAGCAAGCATGTACTGCTCTTTTCTAGCAGAATTTAAGTTCAGAGCAGGATCTTTGAGGGTCTCTGTCTCCACCTAACCAGAGCTGGGCCTCACTCCTGGACTTTGGGGAACTTGGAAGGCTAACAGTCAAAATGCAGCCCTTTCCTGGGTCATTGAGGACACTGCTCCAGACAGCGTGGGGACAGCTCTGCTGCTGTGGCCACCCCGGGATGGAAGCCAGGCCAGGTGTGGCTCCGGACCTCGCTGAGGGAACACTCTCAGGCGGCCTACCCCCTTCAAAGCCCACCTCTTCGTCAGTAACACGGGAGTAGCAATGCCTACCTCACAGGGTGATGAGCACCAGGAGAGCGGGTAACACGCTGCAATTTTCCACCAGTGTCTCCAATGCCTAGCACAGGCTGGCACATAGTAGGCACTCAAAAAATATCTGTGGAAATAATGAAAGAATCCAGTCAGATAACATACGTGGGAAAAGGCTCTGGCAGCATGAAGCAGACCATGACTGACATTGGGAGCCCTTGCCCACAAGGAACCTACAACCCAGACCCCACTTCTCTGGGGCACAGGCTGTCCTGGGAAGCTCCAGCCCTCACCGTCCGTGATGCAGGGCAGTGTCTGACTACACACCACCCCGTGAGCACTGAGAGGATGTGCCACGGCCCCACCTTGGCCCTACTGCTTACCTGCCCAGGGGCATTTCCTCATCCAAACACCAAAAACCACTTGTCCCCACTTGTTCCAGAAGGATAACCTAATTTTCTTTTTCTTTTCTTTTTCTTTTTTTTTTTTTTTCAGAATCTCAGGACAGGTCAGCTTTCCCAAGCCAGAGGATCCCAAATGTGTCCAGACATCTCTGGCTCCCTTCTGTGCTTCTACTCGGATTTCTTGCGCCCTGAGGGCAGGCCCTTCGTCCCCTTACTCACTGCTGGGCGTTCAGCACCAGGAACAGCGCCCGGCTCCCTGGGACCACAAACACCCCTTGCTCAAGCCTTGCATGAGGGAGTGGCCATTTAACCCTGTGCTTAAATCCCATCCTCTCTCCACGACCAGGCCATAGGCTCCCGGGAAGCAGGGGAACATCTCTTTTGTGCACATATCTTCCTGACACACTTTGCTATAGTGCCCGTATCAGTCAGAAGCTCAGTCAGTGTAGATCCCCAACTGGCACCGGTGCAACACAGAGACAGCACAGCCTGCCGCCAGCCCACTGTGTTCAGGCCCTGAGCATGCTGCCTGGACCCCTGGCCCAGCTGTGCTAAGTGGCCTCTCCTCTCCTGATTTGTCAGCAGTCCCTCTGCCAGTCTCTCTCTCGTCCTCACTGGGCTGTTACACCATTAATCGTGATTTTCCAGGGTGGGTCTGAGAGGAAGCCGACAGCCGCCAGACGGTGTTTGGTGGCAGGGATGACAGAGGAAATCAGAGGGGCAGCCAGATTAATTACAGGTTTTCTCTCGTCTGTGAGCAACAAGATCCTGATTACTCCTCATGACGCTCTGGGCTCCTCAAGACAAATGGATGTGGGCTTCTCTGCTGTTCTGAACCCCCCAACTGGAGGACACTTCCAGCACAGCCAGCAGCTTCGACAGAGTACGCAGGGTGACAGGGTGGCCAGGGCAAGGAAGTAGGGCCACTCCTGGCTCTGTGGTCCCCTTGAGGGAGAATCAAACTCTGGAACCTGATGCTGCTGGGCAGGACAGGTAAGTATTCTCTCTCTGGAAAGTAGTGTGATGCCAGGACCCAGGCCTGTCCCGGGAGGCAGGGACCTGGGTGTTCACTGGCTCTGGGAGATACTCCTCTGAGCCTCAGTTTCTTATTCTGTAAAAATGAGGGAATTGGCCCAGATAATCTTTTAAGTGGTGTAATTCCACAGTTCTCGAAATTATACTTCATGCTTACATTTATTGAATATATACTTACTACATAAAAAGGACTATTTCAGCCACAGCGCTCCTCAGAAGAGCCCTGTGAGGCAGATTCTCTCACCTTCTCCACCTGTAGATGTGGAAACTAAAGGTGCACAGGTTGAATGACACCTCCTAAGGTCACCTGGCTGGCCAACGGGAGTACCAGGCCACCAGCTCCAAGACCTGTTCTTCCTCACTCTTCTCTATACATCCCTTCTCTCTGCATCCCAGAATCTGGCACACAATTGGCACTTGAAGAAATGTTGGGCTGTGATTATAATGATTATCATGATGTTGAAAGAGAGGAGTTAAATCCAAGCAGATCTAGGGCCCATTTGCACATTTTTCACATCGGAGGAAGCAAGCAAAGAGAAATGAGTCTGAGTATGTCCCTTGGCAAAATGATCAGCCCAGGTGTCCTCAATTGTTAGGATTTACCATCAGGAGATGCGCCCAGGCGTTAGTGATGAGTTACGATGTGGCAGGTTAGCCAACACTTGACTTGCATTGGCTTGGGACTTGGACCTGGTCTGACTCGTCAGGATAAACTGAAGAGCAGTGGCTGGCCCCAGCCCAGGCCTGATATTAGGGAAGGGTATTCAGGCGGCACAGCATCCCCAGGCATCGGCTAGCACCGCAGGCATGTGTCTAGGGGTAGCTGTCCCCCATCCTCAGACACTAATGAGCAAAACGTAAGGAATAACCAGTCTCTTCTCCCCTCCAAGCCACCTCCCCATGTAGATTTCAGACTGAAGCCCTCAATCCACTTCAAAAGAGTGGCCCTTCACCAGGGGCCTGAGCAGACATACTTGGTTTCTAATCCCAGATGCCACTATGTGTCCTTAAACTGGTTACTTAAGAGCTCCATTTCCACGAAAGTAAACCGTGGGCAACAATGGCACCTCCCTTGAAAAGCTGCTGCAATAGGCTTTGGCTGTAATAGGATCAATGTGAACTTCCTTTCTTTCCTCTCTCCACCCTTGTTCGGGGCTCCCTCCAGCCCTATATGCATGTATCCCAAACCGCATCTGCATCTTCGCCCAACGAGACTGCCTCCCATGCCTCCAGACAATATTAATGCACAGCCCTCTCATCCCCAGAATGCTGCTCCAAGTCAAGCCCATCCCAGAAGTTTTCCCTGAAATCAGTCTTCCTTCCTTTCCTTACTCAGATCCAGCCTGGCAGAGGAGAAAAAAAAAAAAAAAATCAGGGATTGGAGGTGGAGAGCTGATCTTGGACTCATCTCTTAACCTCTCTTCTGTAAAATGGGGAAATTATACTCCTACCATCTCCCTTGCAGGGTTGCTAAGAAAACCAAATGAGAAAACGAGTGGAGCATTACTTTGCAGATGAGTGAAGTGCTTTCTAAGCACAATGGTGTATATTGTTCCTTTCCTCTAGGCTGGCCAAAGCATATAAACATACTCAATAGCACTACAAGATTTATACTTTATTCATTCAACAAATATTTTTACTGAGTGCCTACTAGCAGGCCCTGTCCAGGCCCTGGAGCGTACAGTCAGGGGAGAGATATTAATCCCACATCCAGGTAACCAGATGCCATAGTTACAGACAATGAAGGAAAAGTGCAGGATGCTACAGAGCGCATGGCAGGGGGACCTCATGTGGCGGGAAGGGAAGGCTTCCCTGAGGACAAAGGTTTGACCTGAGTTGGCCAGGTCTCTCAAAGGGGACACAGTGAACAGGGAGAAGAAGATCCCAGACAGAGGAACAACACGGAGGAGACCCAGAGGCCTCAGGTGGCAGCCAGCGCAGCGCGTTTCAGAAATGGCGAGGCATCCACGAGGGTGGGAAGCCGAAACATCTTCTTGATCTGCTGTATTTATGTCCAGTCTCCCCCATTAGGCACCCCCAGCTCCTGGATACAGCTCTGCATCTAAAGCCAACTGCCTCCGTGAACCTTGGACTGGACCCAGCGGCCTTCGCAGACAAGCATCTCGATCCCCTTTCAATGCAAAGGAAGTGGTTAGAGGCGAGAAGATGGGGAGTTAATCACCAGTCTCAGTGAGCTGGGGAAGGCGGGAAGAGGATCCCAGGGTAGGATGTGAAGGCCCAGGCTGGCTCAGGATGGTGAAAAACGTCCCTGGCATTTATCTGAGGCCACCAGGCTTGGCCCAGGGGGAGAGGATGCCTAGCAGAGACCACATGAGCCGAGGCTTTGAAATAAAATTGCCCAGTGCTGGAGCTGTTGGTAACACATTTAGAGCAGAGAGGCCTTGCAGGAGTGTCCACAGAGGAATAGAGAGTGAGCAGGGGACAGACACAGAGAGAAACCGCTTTTTAGGGACAGCGTGTTAATTGCCTCCGGATAGACACAGCTCTCTCTTCCCTGCTCGGGATCTATCTGGGTGTGGGGAGGACAGGGGCTGTCCTGGAGAGGGTTGGCCATTCCCTGGAGTGAGGCTGTATGCACTGCAGCCTTCCAGAAGGAGATCTGAAGAGAGCTGGGTGGGAGCCGTGTGACGGGGGAGGGGAGGTACATCAGAATTTAACTCTCTGAAGCCAGAGACAGGTTATTACAGACTCGTGGGTGATGGTACACTATCTCCAGCTCCAATGAGGTCAAAGCCGGAGGAAAGGGCTCTGAATGTTAGTGATAAAGAAGCAAGCAAGCCCTAGGCTGTCTGGGTGCCTCAGTCGGTTAAGCGGCTGCCTTGAGCTCAGGTCACCATCCCAGAGTCCTGGGATGGAGCCCCACATCCAGCTCCCTGCTTCTCCCTCTCCCTCTGCTGTTCCCCCTGCTTGTGCTCCCAGGCTCTCTCTCTCTCTGTGTCAAATAAATAAATGGAATCCTTAAAAAGAAGAAGTGAAGCAACTCCTGACCTGAGAGCTGCTGGGTCACAGATATGGAGTTGTCCCTTGGCGCAGCTCTATCATGCCCAAGTGGAAACCTCACTGCATCTGGGGTCTCTGACACCAGAGAGCAAGGTCCTGTCTTCTTTTTCTGAGTCCTGGCCAAAACAGGGGACAAAGCAGCCCTCCATAGGTGTAGCATTCCTTGGGGAAGCCCAGGACCAGCCCCTTGGCTGGCACTTCCTGGGGTGGAGGAGGAGTGGGGGGTGTGGAGGACAAGAAAGTTAGATATGGTAAAATAAAGGTGCATAACAAAGCAGGTGGTGTCCTCTTCAAAATGCAAAGCAGTTGGACTTATTCTACGGGTGTCATCCAAGCTAAGGAGTCTCTGGGACTTGCTAAAGAGCACACAGAGGGACCATCCACCCCTTCCCGGCACCCTGCTCTGTTAGCACTACTACCGTCTACTTAGGGAAGGCCTGGCACCAGGCTCTGTGAGGGGCAGGGAACAGTCACTGGCTGCTGGCCAGCTGCCCCCCTGGAGAGGGCTCTGGAACGGCAGTCAGGGTAGGAAGGAGACTTGCTTTTCATCCTAAAGTATTCTCTACTGTGTGCATTTTAAGAGATTGGATTGCTTTTCAATTAAGAAATCTAATTAATAATTTAGAAAACAGTAAAGAATCCCAACTTTCTCAATGATTGGCTACAA